TATTAAAAGTACAGTTATCCTATAAGTGTAGAGCATAAACTGTATGTGAATCAGTCTTAACTTAAAGGAGCATTGTTTGTTTTCCATAGTTCTCCTCAAGGTCACGGGAGTACATATACTGTGTCCTCTTGTAACCCAAAACGTAGCATATAGCAGGCTCGATATATGCTGAGAGCTCCGCAGCCGGGACAGATCCCGATAATACTACCGAGATCCACCCAGCTGGCTGATTGACAGCTGGCTCTGCCTATCTAGAGGCATAGCCAGCTATGTTCGCCCCCTCCTCTACTGACATTCACTGCTCTTTGCAGGAAGATGATCGGGAAGTGAGCGGATCGGCGGTATGTTTTCGCTCAGTTGCCAATCAATAGAGCCGACGCTTGACAGTTTCAATGTTACACGTCGGCTCTAACTATGGGCATGAGTGTAATTCACTCATCCCATAGTTCTCATTTAAGATTAAGCTTTCTCATTGAAATGCATTTTTATGCAGTAAAATTCATGATGTTTAATACAGGAGAACAAACATGTGTGGATAGGCCCTTAAGTTTAGGGTGTGATGGGAAGAAAACCAAAACCCCTACAAAAATATGAGGTACAGCTTTGTTATGCTAAAGCAGAATGTATTCACAAATATTTAGGAGCAATAGGTATATTCCTTCTTTCAAGACAGTGGGCAGACATATGTAAATAATTTGTTTATGCTCCTGTTGTTAGCTGCACTCTCTTAATGTTGGTTCATCACACAGATACAGTCTAAATGCTTTGGTTTTCTTAGCTATCATTAGTGAAAGACATGGAGGTCAAGGGTTTTTATGTCACCCTTTCCACCAAAATAAAAACAAAGGGATTTAGACAGTTTGGGCAGTTTGCAGAGACATGCACATAATGCAGTAAGAAATGCAGTTTTACTTTAAATTCATTATTCCAATAATGTTTGCTTCTTCTATTTTCCTCCTCATGTAAAGCTGGAAAGATGGCCTTGCACTTTGTGCCCTTATCCATAGACACAGGCCCGACCTCATTGATTACTCCAAGCTCAGAAAGGTATACCTTTCACTTTCATTATCTTTTACATTGTTAGTGTAAGTTTTATATATTTGTTCACACCATTCCTCTTTCATTAAATCAAAGTTTTGCCTTCTTTTCTTCTAGATATGTTTAAATATTAAATATGCAGTATGCACTGTATTGCAGGATTGTGGACAACAGTGTATACGCATCACCTAGGTTTCTCAATGCAATGATGCTATGTTTTTTTACTGCTTTGCTGGATAAAAGTGTAGGACAAACCTGCTTGGACTGTTCTTGGGTGTTCCTGTCTCATGCTTGGTTTACCATTGCCAATGCCAGTTGAGCCTTTTCCCCTTACAACTTGGTGCTTACATACAGGCAGCGACTGAAAGACACAGACACCTACTAATGTAATAAAATAAAGGAGCTTGAAAAATAACTTTTGTTGGCCAGTGTTAACCAACATCAGACTAATGAGCTACTGCAAGAGACAAAATGCTTAACTGTCCAACAGATGCAACAGCTGACTGAAACCTACCAAGAGGTAAAGAGACAACAGCAAGTGAACTTGTCTCTACATTAGAAGATAGAGGACCTATCAGAGAGGCAAATGGGGGCGTAGGGGCCAAGGTCTACACCTCAACAACTGACAATGATGTAAAAGCCTGCCTCTGCATCTTTTAGAATGTTGCTAAACCAGAGAAACTGCTTGAAGAGCAGGTGAGGGATGCGCTAGCACCCTTTTTAATAGGGGAATCCCAAAAAGCCTACTTTAATCTGAAACTTTAGGGTACTATGGAGTATCCTAAGCTCAATGTAGAAATTCTAGCCAGGCTCAGGGTTACCATGGCTGCAATGTGTTCTCATGGTAAGATGACTGTGGAAAGCCAGCAAAGCCCCAGTTGTTTGATTGGTTCAACATTGCAATCAGGTGGTTGCTACTGGAAGTGCCCAGATTGTGGGGTGAATGGTACGTGAAACCAAAGCTTTGCTAGTTAAAATACAGTGGCGCATTAGGCCCACAGACCCCAATAGTGTGGATGAGCTGGCATTCCTTGTGAATTGACATATTGCTACAGAGCACTATTTCCCACCCCCTAGAACCAGGAAAACATTGACCTTAGGTAAAACTGTTCTATTTTTTCCACCAAGAAGTAAGCAGCCTCCTAAGGAGGGGGGGTGTGAGACAACATGGTTGCCACATAGGAACAGCCTCCCAGCAAGAAAGGAGTCTCTTCTTGGAGAGAAACCTGGTATATTAGGTGCTGGAGGTGTCAAGGACTGGGGCATGTGGCTTCCAATCGCCCTGTATTACAGGAGCCTATGGAGTGTGACCTGGCAAGGTGTATGTTGCCAAGCCTTTTCTACCCTGGAAGGTAGATATGTCCTATCACCATAGAAGGGCATGTGGTGGAGGCATTATTAGACTCTGAAAGCCTTTTTTTATCTTGGAGGAGGCATTATTAGACTCTGAAGGTCTTGTCACCTTGGTCCATAGCAGGCCGGCTGTATACTGCCAAGTTTGGCTAAGACTGTTTGGGAGTACTCTGTATACATGGTGATGCTTTGCAGTGTTTACAGCGGTCATGTCTAGTGCAGCTGTAAAATATGTCATGGGTCGGGTTAGGAACTTGCTACACAGTAATGCTGGGCTGCCAATTTCTGCTATTTTGAGGTGGCCAGTTCTAAAAGTGTGTCTGAAGTAAATGATCTTTCTATTTAGACTGAACTAGAGGTGGATGTTGGTAACCCTTCATTAGAGGTACCTCACAACTTTCTACTAGTGTTCAAGATTGAACAGTCAGAGTAAATGGCCTCAGTGCCAAACCGAATGGATATTGGCCGGGGAAGATTTTGTGACTACACAGTTGCAGGATCCCAATTTGGCAAAAGCATGGAAAAATGTAAACGGAGAACCCCAAGAACCAGAAGTTAGCCTGGTATAACCCAATTTTGCAGACCGAATTTGTGAAGTCTCCTGGTACCTACACCAAATACCTACCTGTTTTTCACCTAAATATTGTGAGGGGCCCCAGGGTTTGTATCTGCTATGGAGCTAACAAACTTTTTGGTTTTCCCAGATCTTGATAAGTTCTAGTCTGGGTCCTGGAAACCCAAAGGTTCTGGTGGGATAAAGCCTCCAGTCCCACATCTTACCTGTTAGCCAAACCGCACTAATTAGTCCACAGGTCTTTTTATTTGTGAGCTGACTGATGCTAGAGCCTCTCTTTCTTTCACTCTCCCTGCTGCGAGAGCCTGTTGTTGGGTGGAAAGGCTAACTGCTGATAGAACACTAAAAAGGTCCCACAGCTGCCTGGTTGTGTTCGGGAACCCATTAAGGGGCACCCTGTTAGTCAGGAATGAACTTACGTTTAGGTAGTGGCAATAGCAGGCTGGCTATTGAAACCTGCCCACTGAGCAGAGGAGGAGTTCTCTGTCAGGGTCGCTCCTCTGCTAAGTGAGCGGGTGCAATAGCCAGCCTGCTATTGGCTATTTCATATTGCAATAGCCAACAGCAGGCTGGCTATATACATCCGCCCACTAAGCAGAGGATTGAACCTGAGAGAGAAAGTTCTCCCTCAGGTCTGCTCCTCTGCTCAGTGGGCAGGTGCAAAAGCCAGCCTGCTATTGGCTATTTCACATTGCAATAGCCAATAGCAGGCTGGCTATTGAAACTCACCTTATGAGCAGAGCAGCGGACATAAGAGAGAAACTTAGAAAGTTGCCATTTGGCAGCAAGATATAAACAGAGAATTTAGTTAGCAGCTAAATAAATTTAGTTGCTAACAAATTGTTTTAGTGTGCACTAAGCAACCGAGGACATGTCCTTGATTTTTTTTGCCGGTTGCTTGAGAGTGCCTTTTGCTTGAATGCTGGATAATGGGGAGCTTACTGTATTAAATTCTAGGAAATATTTAAAATATAAATAATATAAACATATTTTCCCAGAAAATATAAGATACATTTTGTTTGACTTAAACACCATTTACCTATCTAAAATTAACCTTTTTTTAAAACCAATTTTTACAGGATGACCCCATTGGTAACCTCAACACTGCCTTTGAGGTAGCAGAAAAGTACCTAGATATCCCTAAGATGTTGGATGCAGAGGGTGGGTAACAGATTCTGAACAGAGACATGAAATTAAATAAATGTGTATTTTTCATTACAATTTATTGTCCCTCTCTGCAGATATTGTAAACACACCCAAGCCAGATGAAAAGGCAATTATGACGTATGTGTCCTGCTTCTACCATGCCTTTGCTGGAGCAGAGCAGGTAACAAATACAAATCTTCAGTATTCTAAACATTAGGTAGAGGATAAAAATAATCAAATGCTAAGAAGGGTGACCTGCTGCAAGAGGTGAGATTATGACTGAATATGATAAGGACATAATAAATAAGTAACACATCTCAATGGAATGAAATAATCATTGCGTGAAAATAAAAAAATTGCATATTTAATAATAGTGTCATATTCAACAGTCTACAGAAGAGCTTACTGAGCCATATACAATAGTTTGTTTTTCCCTGCAAACACAACCTCACTCCACTCTATAGTGAATATGAAGGACACCCACACAAACATGGGGAGAACATGCACACTTTATGAGATAATACCCCAGAAGGACACACTGGTGGTCTAAAGCCTGGTCTGAGGTCTACTGGGAAGTAGTGTACTGGGAACCACTTTAACATTATATTTGCCTTTTCTGATGCCCAAATATAGGTACTCAGCATTGAAAAATGTGCATACTTTTTGCACAAATAGATATTAATACATATAATTTAAAGTAAAAAACTATAATCAAGGGATACTGTATACAGTTACAACATGCTGTGTCTTGGAACATGAGCCACTGTGTTTATTATGTTATTATTTGTTTGCAGATGGTTTTGGCATGCAGCATAGCTTGTCAGTAAATAGGTGATTTCCTGAAGATGGACAAATTAGAAATATTAACACAGAAATATTAGCTACACTGACTAGCTCAAAAATAATATCATAAGTAGGCAATATTAAGAAATTAATTCAAGTAAGTCAGAAGCCAAAGTAAATTTTCTTTGTACTTTCATGGTTTTTCTGCTGCTATTGGTTGTGATGTACAATGCAAAGCTTCACTGAAAAGTAAACTGTTTATACAGGCTGAGACTGCAGCAAACAGGATCTGCAAAGTCCTTGCCGTGAACCAGGAGAACGAGAAGTTGATGGAAGAATATGAGAAGTTAGCAAGTGAGGTTAGTATGTGACCACTTATGAATTCCTACAATTGGCTTTACTTGGCTAGACATCTTAAATCTCCTCAAAATAAATTTAACAGTAAAATCCAGTTTAGTCATGTGCAGTATGTGATTTGTTTTCCCAAAATCGTCAACATGTGTTTTTTAGGATGGTGATGACCTACCAACATTTAACACTTCTTACAAGTTTTTAAAATAATAGTTCAAGCAGATTGGTATATTGTTTTAATAGTGCTGAAGAATCTGCTTTTAAATTTTCACAGCTACTGGAATGGATTCGCCGCACAATTCCCTGGCTGGAAAACAAGACCCCTGAGAAAACCATGAATGCCATGCAGAAAAAATTGGAGGATTTCAGAGACTACAGAAGAGTACACAAGCCACCCCGTGTTCAGGAGAAGTGCCAGCTGGAGATTAACTTCAACACTCTGCAAACTAAACTGAGACTAAGCAACCGCCCTGCATTCATGCCATCTGAGGGCAAGATGGTGTCCGTAAGTATAAAGAAAAGCAATAATGCTATATACTATGCTTACCCTTTCTTTTTTAAAACTGCTAAACTTAGAGACTATAGAGAAGACCTTAGGAAGAACTATATTTACTCTGCCAATACCTAAGGTATTTAAAAAAGAAATGCACAATAACAGGGAGAAATCGCTATGAAAATATCTGGCACATCTGCAATGCAGGCTTTCATGCATTTGCAGATGTATTCACATCCAGCAACTGCAATCCCCTTACCGATCTGCTAGAGTACATTCACCGTATGTTCCATGTATGAGCTGCAGTCCCAGTTTGCAGTGGACATTGAACATTCAAATGCTGACTTTCTACCCTTTAGTCCAAAAATGTAATGCAAAGTGCGCATTAACATTATATCTAAAAAAAACCCCACAAAAATCTACAGTGTAACACGATTGTTCATTAAAGTGTGAAATGTGCATTTGCCAAACAAAGGAAGAGCACCAAAAGATATGTATGCTGAGCTGCTAGAACAAACAAGACAGCATGCTTGAGTATTTATCGCTGAAACCACTATTTACAAGCATTTATAAAAAAATATAATTTTTAAAATAAAGGTAGCAAAAAGTCCTCTTCTTGCACCAAACATTTGTAGGAAGCCCAAATCTTGTCCCTCATTATTTTAGCTAGCCATAGCCAAAACACGGTGTATATGCATGCATTTCATACTTTACCGTTTCTAGGTTTCAGGGTAATTCTGATACAAAATCTGCAGCAAAAAAAAGTGCTTTGTACTTCATGTAGGACTTCCTTTTATTTTACATAAAACAAACCCATTAGGTACCAAAGCATTCAGTAGGCACTTGGGTCAAAGTAAAAGTTGGTGGTATCTAGTAAGGATTTAAAAAATTGACTCTGAACACTCTGACTTTTAGAGCAAGGAATGCATTTCATACAGTATGTATTTATCTGTTTTATTTATTTTAGTTCTCACAAATTTGTTTTGTCATAGGATATTGCCAATGCTTGGAAAGGTCTGGAGCAAGTAGAGAAGGGTTATGAAGAGTGGCTTTTACTGGAAATAAGACGACTGGAAAGACTGGAGCATCTGGCAGAGAAGTTTAAGCAAAAGGCTACTCTCCATGAGTCCTGGACCAGAGGTAGGAGAAGAGTGTTCATCTAAAAATAGCTATTTAACCAAATGGATGTCATGTTTCTATATCAAACTGCACTGTTTAACTTCAGCATCACCAAAATAAGCAGAAAAAAAGAGATTAATATATTGTAATATATTGTAATAACAGAAAACTGAGTACTAAGTTTGCACTGCTCTTCAGAAAAAACATTGCAGCTTGCTGAACATGCAAATAAATTAAAAAAACATTTATCACAGCTACTCAACTAGTGATAGGTGGTTAAGAGTGGTCTTTTATTCAAACCTGGGTGCCAATTCTTACTTTTTATTTTATTGCATATATTATAAAAGACTGCAGGCCAAAGTTTTTAAATTTGTATAATTCTTTAAAAGTATAGCTAAAGCCAAGAGCAAATGTTTAACATATTGCAGCTTAAATTATTGATATGTGCATACATTACATTTTTTTCAGGATAAGAACAATTTATAGAAATTACTTGTTGATCTTGTCAGAAATGCAGTGTCCTTGTACCTTTCAGTAAATTTAACTGAAATCATAAACAACATTTTCTTTCTTCTGTAAACTACTAATTTTACAACCATATACAGTATATATGGGTTTTTGGTTTAGATACATTTCAGTTTCTAATGTCAGAGCTGTTTATATATCTGTGTCTGTGCCAGCCTCCACAGCACTAGGAAATATGGCCACACGCAACCTCTTATTTATTACAATATATCAAATGCCCATGACTGTTGGAGAAATGGTAAACTTCTCAACTATGGTTTTGCTTTTCTGATTTTATTTGGATTATGTTTTGTGGTCAGTTAAGATGCATATAGTTTAACATTTTGCATTCACATTTCATTGAAGTGTTGCTCTTGCAATTTACAATCCAGTGATTGGTGCTTGATCATGTGGTCATCCAGACATCAGAAAATTTACTAGGTACATTAGGCCTAATATTAAGCATAATGATCTAATAGCAAAATAGATTTTAGACTGTATCAGAAATACAAAACTGAAGATGAAAATTGAAGATGAATAAAATGAAGATTAAATGAAGGCGATTTACATCCAAATTGTATTTCTATATGTAAAAATAATGTTTGTTTTATAACATCTTTCTGGTATTGTAAGTTATATAACTATGATGTAATTTAAAAGGGCATAAGTAATAACAGTAAATTCTTGTCCACTAATCTCTGTGCCTTGTGCACTGTACAGGAAAGGAGGAACTGCTGTCCCAAAGAGATTATGAATCAGCTTCTCTCATGGAGATCCGTGCCTTGGTACGCAAACATGAAGCTTTTGAGAGTGACCTTGCTGCCCACCAAGACCGTGTAGAGCAGATTGCTGCTATTGCCCAGGAACTAAAGTGAGTTTGTGATGCTTTAAAATTACTTTTATTCTCTGGAAGAAAAACTATGGGGTCTATTCATTAAGCTGCCGAAGGATCTAGCCGTAGCTTCGGCTGATCCTTCGGCTAGCTTCAGCCCCAGGACCCCTTCGGTTCAGTAGAACCGAAGGGCTGCTGTATGGGCTATTCACTATAGCCCATACAGCTCCCGAAGTCGGGCGAGCGGCTCAGTCAAGCCGAAGGCATATGCTTCGGCTCGACTGAGCCGAGGTGAAAGCCGAAGCTGGCTTTGGAAGCTGGCAACTGGCCGGCCGACAGCCTTCTACTAACTGCTGGGCGGAGCCAGCCGTCATCTCACGGCTGGCTCCGGCCCCTTGCACAGATAGATCAGCGTCCCTGATTCCCCCAAACTACCCTAAACTGCGAATAGCAACAGTAATACTCTTGATCGCAGTGATCAACGAGCAAATAAACAGCAAAATCATAACCCCCCTTGGAGGCCTGTTATGGACCTGCAGATCCTGCATGAGTGTCAATGTTTGTTGCCAGTAACTATAATCTCCAACTGAGCTTACCTTTGAATAGGGTTTTTAATGAAAGATTGGATCTGCATGCAGATGTCGAAATACACCTAAAGATCCAATGTACTGATTAATATTGTATTCTGGTAACTGTATGGGATTAAGAACTGTAAATCTAGTATTTAGTATATTCAATCCTTTTTTTATTTCACAGACCTTGATTCATAATTTTCTCCACATTTACATACAGGCCAAGCTGTCCAGCAAAAATAACTGCTGTAACTGCCTAAAACTCGTTAGCTGGAGTTTGACTTCACTTTGTTGCTTACTTAAAGTCCATCTAAAACTACATGTCCATATAAAACTGCCCTATATTCAAGGTGACAATGCTGCACTGATTTCACGGTAGAATGAACAGTGTTGTCATCCTGTTAAAGGAAATGGCACAAAAGTGCCAAAAAAAGTGGCAAAAAAACAGATCTACTGGTTGCATCAACAAATAGTTAAACTATGTCACAGGCAGGGCTCAGAAAAACAAATACTAGCATGGTAATGCTGTTGACAGACTGCAGAATATATGCCATTTTTGCTTTTACCCATAATTCTACTTTAAGCCACTCACTAAAATTGAGATTATATATCTACAGTGAACTCGACTACCATGATGCCGCTACTGTTAATAGCCGCTGCCAGGCAATCTGTGACCAGTGGGACACTCTAGGTACCCTCACACAAAAGAGGAGAGATGCTCTTGAGGTAAAATGCACCAAAATATCATAGTTAAGAAACATGTTGCTATTATTATGTGTATTTATGGAGATATTAAGTTTGGATGAAGGTTATACATATAGATGTGGTTTTCGAGATACTAAGTTTGGATGAAGGTTATACATACAGATGTGGTTTTCTTTCATAGCGTGTTGAGAAACTCTTGGAAACCATTGACCAGCTGTACTTGGAGTTCGCTAAAAGAGCTGCTCCTTTTAATAACTGGATGGATGGAGCAATAGAGGATCTGCAGGACATGTTCATTGTGCACAGCATTGAAGAGATCCAGGTAAATATCACACTAAAACATATAAAAATACAGTGACTATTACAATGGCTGCTATACAGTATACATGCCATGACATCATTTATTTTGCTATCTGGAAAAACCTATAATTAGTTTTTCTAAAACTGGATGGAATTCAGTGATCCAGAGCAGGGATTTCTCCGGCATTCTAGATAACAAGTGGAAAGACATCACATATTGCAAATTGCAAATAACAGCTTAGATTCATGCCATTTTAGCACAGACCATACAGGCACATATGGGGAAAGTATGTAAACATCACAATAAACATAATTCTTTTAACAGTTTACCTTTTTCATTAATAGATACTTTCATATTTTGTACCCAAATTTTGACTTATTCAAATATAAAAATATGCAGTGATAAATAATTAGAGAGTCTTGAGAAGGCTAATAGGAACAGTTAAATGGTAGCTCATTCTAGTGACTACACTAAGATTAGGTTGGATCTGATAAGTTTAGCCCTTTAAAGCAACCACAAAAGACTTAACTGTTTCTAGTATTTTTTGCTTACTGAGAAACACCCCTAGAAATACTGTACATTATTCACTATTTTTACAATATTCACTTCTAATATTCACTTTTAATGCTTTTTGTTCCAGAGAGTTTCATTTAAAGACATTGATTTGTGTATTATTTTATCACAGAGCCTGATAACAGCACATGAACAGTTCAAGGCTACTCTTCCAGAGGCTGACAAAGAGAAAATGTCAATTTTGGGCATCCAGGCTGAGATTCAGAAAATTGCTCAGACCTATGGCATTAAACTTTCTGGAATTAACCCATACACCAATCTTACCCACCTCGATATTGCCAACAAGTGGGAGACAGTAAGTAAAGAAAGAAAAAGTTATTTTATTAACTAGTATTATTATTATTACAGACACATTACATACATTTAAAGGATTTGTAATTTTATAACAGTTAGGCATCGTTCTCACTTTGTGTTTTGGGATTCCTGTGGCAGGAACCTACAGATTCCTGCAGCAGGAATCCCCATTCTCCCATTCCGATGCAACTTCTCTCACCTGTTCAAGTTAATGACCGGATGATAGTGGCCACATTTGTAAGTGACAGTACACATGTAAGCATATGTGATATGATTCCATGCAGTTTTGAATAGATTACTGTTGCTGGAGGAAAATATCCTGTGTCCAAGGACAGTGATCTATTTCAAACCGCGTGCAATCCTTTCACATATGATTATTTGCGGGCTACCGTCTTCATTAACTTGAACAGGTGACAGGGGCAGCATCTGATTAGGAGATTTAGGATTCCTTCTGCAGGAATCCGTCTGTACGTGTGAACAAAGCCTCGTATATCTAAATGGAGAAACAGTACAGGCTACATAGTGTATGCTATATTGTAACAATCTGCATACATCAGAACGCAAGTCATAGGTGCCAGAAAGACAACATACAGCTATGCAATTCTTTTGATACGGTACCACACAAACGCTTGCTACAAAAGCTGAGGGCTATGGGCATAGATGAGGTGGTGTGTACGTGGATAGAGAACTGGCTACGGGAACGTGTCCAGAGGGTATCTGTAAATGGCACCTTTTCAGACTGGGCTAGTGTAATGAGCGGTGTGCCTCAGGGTTCTGTGCTGGGTCCCATATTGTTCAACTTATTTATTAATGACATCGGGGAGGGTGTTAACAGCGATATTTCCGTGTTTGCGGATGACACCAAAATAGGGAGGGTAATAGACACGGACTTAGACACTATAACATTACAGGAGGACCTGGATAAAATAGGGGAGTGGGCATTAATGTGGCAGATGAGGTTTAATGTCGATAAATGCAAAGTAATGCACTTTGGAATTAAAAATAAACAAATGGGTTATACAATTATGGGTATGCCGCTGGGGAAGTCAGAAATGGAGAAGGATTTGGGGGTCATTGTAGACCACAAACTGAAAGGTAGTTTGCAGTGCCAGGCTGCTGTAAACAAAGCTAGCAGGGTCTTGTCCTGTATTAAAAAGGGGATGTATTGCAGGGACAAGTCTATCATTTTGCCACTTTATAGATCATTGGTTCGACCTCATCTGGAGTACGCGGTCCAGTTCTGGTCACCAGTACTAAGAAAAGATGTCCTTGAGTTGGAAAAAGTCCAGCGAAGGGCAACCAAACTAATTAGGGGTATGGAGGACCAGAGCTACGAGACGAGGCTACTAAATTTAAACATGTTCACATTAGAGGTGAGGAGATTAAGGGGGGATATGATTTCCATGTACAAAATGTTTAATGGTGGTAGCAACATTAGCGATAAACTATTTAAAATTAACTCCGTTACAAAAACTAGAGGCCATCACCTAAAATTGATGGAAAAAAAATTCCAGCACAAGGGGCGAAGGGGGTTCTTCACAGTAAGATCAGTTAGGGTCTGGAACTCACGGCCACAGGCGGTGAGTTCAGCAAATAATGTGGAATTGTTCAAGAAACTTTTGGACGATTTCTTAAGGGACCGTAATATACAGGGGTACAGGTACTCCTAGAATGAGATCCTAATAGGTTGGACTTGATGGACTAATGTCTTTATTCAACCTCAAATACTATGTAATTCAATGACAGCTGTATGTGAATAGTTTGTTTTAACTGTACACTCTTGTCAAAATTAGCAATGAAACCTGCAACTGCAGAAAGAGAGCCAAGCTTACCTACATGATATGTTTTATTCATCCAGACATGTAGTGCACCAATCCACATCAATCTTTTCTGACAGAAATCTGGTGATCTAAGCCGTGGCGTAACCAGAGATGCGGGTGCCCGGGGCAGAACAAAATTTTGCGCCCCCCCCAACCATTATATCACCATTAAATAGCCCTCGAAACCCCCCCTCCCAACGCTCCTTAATGTTGCATCAGCGTGCTGGACTCTGCACTTACCTGAGACCCTGCATAGCCCACCTGAGACTCTCTATGGTGGGTGGGCTCTGCAGGGCCCCAGGTGGGCTGTTCGTCAGGGTCCCTTTCCCTATACCTCCTCCCAAATCTTCTTACCTGCTGCTGCTGGGGCCCGGCCTCTTCCACCCCCTCCCGTCATCTCTGCAATGCCACCCCTTGTACAGCTGATACCCATGTAAGGGGCCCCTCAGGCTGCCCAGAGCCCTCACATGGTTACCTGCCGTACCCCTCTGATGGCAGACATCCTAACTCTCCCGGATGCTCCGGTAACTTCCGCTATTAGATAGTGGCTCCCGGCCACCCGGGAGAGAAACATTTTCTCCCGGAAAGGTTTACTCTGCTCGATCAGGTCATCTTCTAGTGATTGATAGCAGCAGAATACGAAAAACAACAACCTGCAGATAGCAAAGAAGCTATTGGCCGTGGGTTGGGGGGCTTAGGGGGGGCCAGAGGACTCCTCCCTGAAATGAGAAGGGCACCTCCCTGAAATTGCTTTTTTTTCAGGTTGGGATCCCTGTGATGGTGGCGTTCTATCAAAGTTTGCGACTACGTTAGAATGTGTCACCGGTGACGTGGTCAACCATTTTAACGTTATCCCGCCCATTTTTTTGGCGGTGGAAAGTGTGACCGCCATTAGGTCAAGCATTCCAATGCTTTCTCAGCTGTTCTAGGGCAGATAGGCATGGCAAATCGTATGTTCAGAAGACCTGGTCTGCCCCAGAACAGCTGATCGGTCCTGAAATGCCACTTCTATCCGACTTTGTGAGTGCCGTGGAATGTGAGATCACAGTCACAAAGTCGGATAACAGTCACAGTCACAAAGTCGTTTTTGCATGGACGTCATTAAATAGACGTTATTCTACTATTGGAGTGCCGGTGTCCATAATTGTCAGTCACACATTCTAACGTAGTCACAAACTTTGATAGAAAAGAAGCCCTGTATGTAATCATTTAATTAGAGAAATAGATTATAATAGGCAACATTACAGTGTAATGTTCCCCATTATAATCCCCCTTTCCTATGTACTAAGATGTTTGACACTCCCTTAGAAGTTTGAATGGGATTGGTGAAAGCAGAAAGAGCAAATTACAAAGTCTTCAAAAAGTACAATCCCAGTGACCCTGTAAGGTGTTAGAAAAAAAAAACTCTGGTTAAAGTAATTTCAGTGAACTTTCTAGGTTGAGCATAGTTTCTGAGTTTATCAGTAGCTTACTGGTTTTACGTGTTGCCTGGAATTGCTCTTTAGGAGCTGACTTATTTTGTAATATAAAACATTCTCACTCAGTACTCCACATTCATTTTCAACAGGCAAAACAACTGGTTCCTCACAGAGACCAAACCCTTCAGGAGGAGCTTGCTCGTCAACAGGCTAATGAACGTTTGCGTCGCCAGTTTGCTGCACAAGCTAATGTTATTGGACCCTGGATCCAGAGCAAGATGGAGGTTAGTTTTACAGTTATTATAACACCTAAACCAGTCACCATAGATTATTAATAAAATCATGGTCAAATATAAAAAGCTTTCCCCAGTGAGATGTCATCTTTACATCAAACATTTTTCTTACCCCTGTATCCCTCCTCCACCACACACATACACATTGGTCCTTTCCCAGCACACACACACACACACACACACACACACTCAGTTACTCCTCCAGATGCTCCTCAGTCTGCACCCACACACTTTCATCCCACTGCATATTGACCACTGCCCATGTGCTCCCCATATAGACACTGCACACTGAGCTCAGACACACAGTCTGGAACTTTAGCACTTAGAGTAAAGCTCAGTTCCTTCGCTGCCTCTCACCCCCCTTCCCTGAAGAAGTAAGTTTTCTCCTCTACTCATATCATACAACCTGTAATCCTCTTCTGTACATACTGCCTGTTGTAATATCCTCAGTATTTACCTGCTGTACATACTGTCTGCTGTCATACCCTCTGTAATTCTCTCCTGCACATATTGTCTGCTGTCATACCCACCTCATTCCTCTTCTGCACATTCTGCCCCCTGTCATACCCTCTGCACCCCTCATCTGCACATACTGCCACCTGTCATACCCCCTTCACTATTCTCCTGCATTTATTGCCAGTGTCATACCCTTCACACTCCTTTCGTGCATATACTGCCCACCAAGATACTTCATTAGCACTGTTTATGTTCCCAACTTTTACAATTCTGGGAGAGGCATCATTTTGCAAGTTGCTATATAGTGATCATTTAAATTGCAAAGCATTATTTAACCAGCATTTAATTTTCTTCCTGTTTAGGAGATTGGTCGCCTATCTGTAGACATTAGCAGTTCCTTGGAAGACCAGATGAATCATCTCAAGCAGTATGAGCAGAATATCATCAACTATAAGTCCAACATTGATAAACTGGAGGGAGATCATCAACTCATTCAAGAATCTCTTATTTTTGACAACAAACACACAAGCTACAGTATGGAGGTGAGGGACAATTTCAACATTATATTTCAGCTAATATGTATGATAAAAAAATGAGTCTTTGAAATAAGGAGTATGTTGACTTTTGTTCAAGTAAGTAAGCTTTAAGGCTTGTTTACACCAGCAGCTGTGCTCAACCACACGTGCATGTGCCCATACATTGCCTGATGTGCTTGATCAAGCAGCTTCACACAGTTATTTTTTTATTATTATTGTTTGAACTTTCACAAGTGACATTTAATTATGTTCTATAGGCTCACCGCGGCGTCTCACTGTGGTGCGCCTAAAATAAGCAGTGCATGCCATACTTTTTGTAAGCACACACCACCGGAATGCAGTGGTGTGAACTGTCACCACCTATACCAGGGCAAATCGCCTTGTCTTGAGTTCAGGTTGCGCTGGAAAAAATAGTCAGCGTAGCCTGAATGCACATGGTATGAACGAGTGCTTCCTACAGTGACTAGATGCCTTGTGAAAAAGCTGTGAAGCAGCATTATACACACATCAAGCAGAAACACAACAGAGTTCCAAGCTAAGCAGGATATCTATGCAAGGTGGCTACGTTACTCCTAAGGTGGTTCACACTTACCTAACTGCAAAGAATACCACATTAAAATTACAATTATAAAAACATTTCATTTCTGAAAAAAAGCTTCTACATTTTTTTATTGATTTTGTGTTTGAGATAATTTGAATGAGTAAAGGTACACAAACCATTTTGTAAAAAAAAAGTACTCCAAAAATATGTCAAGATCAATAGCCCTTGAGGCCTCCTTTAATTTAAAGGGTCAGTCAACCTAAAAGTAATATTTTAGTTATAGGTTTACTTTAAGCTTCACAAGGGATGGAACACCTGTCAGGAACACCTGTCAGGAACACCTGTCAGGAACACCTGTCAGGTTTTTATTGATGTTTGTGTCCCGGTTGGGGAAATTTCTTCCCCTCTTCCTTTGCCAGTGACTCATGTTTTCAGGATAGCAAGTGAAGAGAAATATCCTTAACAGGGACCCAGACATCTACTAGGACAAATGGGTTGTTCTAACCTAATTAACTCTATCTAAGACAGAAGGGTTTTGGATTCCATTGAGTTCCATTGTAAATATAAGCAAATAAGTAGAGGTTTTTAGGACCTGTCATTCTGTCTATGCATGGTTGAATTTTTTCTCTGCCACATTTCACCTTTATAGAGGTCTGCCCAATTTCTTGATATCTCACACTATTACATGCCTTCTTTCCAGTTACAATCACTGCTAATGTGTTCTTTTTTTTTGTGTTAAATAAAATTTTTATTTTAATGTACTAGAGTACAGTGGTACAGGAATGCACATATTACAGTATCCAATAACATGAAAGGTATAATGCCTTACATAGGGTGCATTAGCATATATATCTTCAGATAAAATATTAAAACCAAAAACAAATAAAAATCAGAACAAAAAAAACAACAAAACTAAATACATATACATACTCCATAGTGTGGTCACGGAGGGGGGTGTAGGGAAGAAGGAGGTAAGAAAGAAGATGTGTGGCCGCCAGTGCTAATGTTTTCTAATGCAGTAATAGTTTTTGTACTATTTTTTACAGAAAACATATTTTATTAGCTTGTAGTGAACCAGATTATCATAATGCAAAACTATTTTAACATCACCATTTACCTTTCTTAAAGCACATCCGTGTCGGATGGGAGCAGCTCCTCACTACAATTGCTAGGACCATCAATGAAGTTGAGAACCAGATCTTGACCCGTGATGCTAAAGGCATTAGCCAAGAACAGATGAATGAGTTCCGTGCATCATTCAACCACTTTGACAGGGTAAATGCATTGAGACAAAAATAGGAATTGTCAATGCACATATCTTGATCAGTAGGCTTCTCATTTTATCTTGGTCGTTGTTGGTAACAAAATTATTTTCCATTTGCTTACAGAAGAGGAATGGCATGATGGATCCCGATGACTTCCGTGCTTGCCTGATTTCTATGGGCTATGATCTGGTAAGACTCTTTCACACTCTTGAGATTAGCCAATGGAGTTAGTACATGCTGCAAGTTAGAATAAAGTGTATCAACACCTATCTCTGCTCATTGATTTGTAAATTATTTTTCACTAAAACAGTAATAAAAAGTAATGTAATCTTACATTTCTGAAATTATCTGTATCTAAACCCTAAGTCACAGTTCAGCTGCAGAGTTGCAGCTGAACCGAAGGGGTGCTGTACAGGCTATTCACAATAGCCTGTACAGCTCCCGATCATGGCCGAGCGGCTCAGCTGAACGCCTATGCATCGGCTCGGCTGAGCCGTGCTGAAAGCCAAAGCTGGCCGGCCGCTCGGCCTGCTTCTGACAGCTGGGCGGAGCCAGCCGTGATCTTACGGCTGGCTCCGGCCACTAGCAGTGAGATCAGCGTCCCTGGTTACCTGCTAACCAGGGACACTGATCTCCAAACAGCAAACTCTCCCTGGCGCCCCGGGAGTCTCCTGCCCCGGGAGTCTCCTGCTCTCCATGCTAAGCATGTTCGGCCGACCCGAAGCCACGCGAAGCAAGCCGATGTACGGCTGATTTCAGCCAATGTACGGCTGAAATTAGCCGTACCAGCCTGAAGTGAATAGCCGAACAGTGTTCGGCTCACTTCACTTCAGATCGGTCATTCACTCGGCTGCCCTCGGCAGCTTCGTGAATAGACCCCTAAGTGTCCCTGCCAGTGTAGTGGAACGGGTCCACATACCGGACTCCAGTTTATACCCGTGAGTCCCGATCCGTGACACCCTAGTCCCCAGTGAATATGACTGTTCCTTTTGATTCAAACACACTGTTTAGTTACAAAGATGATTCTTCTTTCCCAGTTTTCTGCAATAGCAGAGTGCTATTAAAGTAAAGCATCCTTAGAAAAGTGGAGAACATAGTATATGCTACATAGTTAGTCAGGTTGAAAAAAGACACATGTCCATGGAGTTCATCCTATAGAGATATGAAGAAAAAAAAAAAAGCCTAAACAGAACGCTATGCCCCCAATTACCCAATGTTGATCCAGAGGAAGGCAAAAAAAAACCCCCAATAAAGCATGGTTCAATTTGCTCCAACAGGGGAAAAAAAATCCTTCCTGATCCCATAAGGCAATAGGATATTCCCTGGAATTGTTTGATGTTGCACCTAGATGGTACTATCTAAGACAAGATTCTTACTTTGTCTCACAAAAGAAACTTATTTTGCATACAGCAGTGTTGCGCTATGACACTTTATTTTTTTCATAAATTAATACTGCTTTGCTGATATCATATTTTTCCCCCACTTTTGTAGGGTGAAGTTGAGTTTGCCCGCATTATGACTCTGGTGGATACTAACAACACAGGAGTTGTAACCTTCCAGGCCTTCATTGACTTCATGACTCGTGAGACAGCAGAAACTGACACTGCTGAGCAAGTCGTGGCTTCTTTCAAGATTTTGGCATCAGACAAGGTCAGTGAAAAATTCTTACCATACATATTTATGGCTTGTAGCAGTTGGCTAAATATTGAAGTATTATAAAAGGGTGGTGGGTCTTTGGAGGTCTATGTGACTAAAGGACAGTGGGGCTGCATTCCTGATATGCAGGAATTGCAAAGTGGAGATTAGTACAAGAGACTTTTGGTGGAAGGAGACCTAGCCTGTGTTTTGGTTGTGGAAGCTGGAAAGTGTGCAAGTTGGTATTTGTACATGATTTGAGGTTGACATCTGAACTGTTGAGAGCACTGGCTTTGCAATTGAGAACAGTCAGCACCTATTTTTGTACAAGCAGGCTTTGGTGGTCCAGATGATGTGCCAATGAAATTACTTTTAAGTGGAGGCACCATTTACATGAAGGAGGTTGGGTGGGCTATTTTAATACAATTAAGTATGTTCCCAGGCTTTCCTAGGGGACCTGGAGGATTTGAACAAGGCAATCTTGCCCTGGATCAATAGAACATGGAAAATGAGCCCCTAGAACATGGAATGGAATCATGTACAATCAAAAGCAAAAGCCGAGCCCCAAAGCAAAGAATATTCTACCAAGTGGTGGAGAAACCCAGCACCTAACTGACATTGTGGGCCTGGCTTGCTATATGCAAAGCCGCTGTTCACTTTATAAGGGAATTTAAACTTTGCAAGGGAATTTTCTCTTGGCTTAGTGAATGTGGTTGAAAGAAACAGTGCTTTTGTTTGCACATATTTGGATGATGAAAGTTAACAGAACTTCACCTCATTCACTAAGCTAAGGGGAAATTTCCTTGCAAAGTAAAGATTTCTTTGCAAAGTGAACTGCCTATTTTCCTTTAGTAAATCAACCCCACAATTTTTTCTAGAAGGAAGGATGAACTATTTTTCTGACCTGTTGTCTTTGCATTGCAGAGCTACATTACCATTGAAGAGTTGCGTAGAGAGCTGCCCCCTGAACAAGCCGAGTACTGCATCAGCCGTATGACAAAATACTCAGGTTCAGATACGACCACAGGAGCTCTGGATTATATCTCCTTCTCCAGTGCTCTCTATGGAGAGAGTGATCTGTAAAGAAAAATCATCTTCCCCTGCTTCCCATAAATATTCCCAAACTGCACCCCTCCCCTGTACCCCAATCTTTTACCCAAAGGCAATGATGACCTTCTGAAAATGTATTAAATGTATATGTACACTTTGTTGGTTAAATACACCAGAGGCAATTGAATATCAGTGAAAGAGGTATTTTTTTGGGATTGATCAAATAAATATTTTGTTTAATTTGATTATGTATCTACATTGTCTGTATAATCTGTACCTATGTTACCAATTTAAAATGAACATTGACAATGATGGAACATTTTGACATGCATTTTGTATTACCTTGCTCTTGTTATGTTAACAATGATGTCCTGGATGTCATAAAGAAGGAACACCTATTGGTTATCAGATGTCAGTCATTGTAATTAAGTGCTTGATCAAATGTACCTTGCTGGGAATCATATTGCTGCTGTACTAAACAGTGTTTTTCTGAAAACATACCAAGGGGAAATGAAATGGGGGAATGAAACCTAAATATATTTTGTGCCCTGCATTTATTTGGAAACATTTATGTTTCATTGTATGAAAGCCAAAAGTGTATATATACATTTTCATTATTAATTCTTGCATTGTATTTACATAAAGTTAAAATGAGCAATTTAGCTTTCCAAGCAAATAGCATAAGTGCATTTTTAATGTGCAAATCCACTCATGCATCTATAGGTCATTGAAAGTGGTAAAAAGAGTGGGAATTAGAAAGGTGATGTTTTTTGAACCTTTGGTAAACTGAGATGCCTTGGCAAAGCACAAATTAAGTCCAGTGTGTTCTAGTTATGGTTCAAAAACTGTTAAATTTTTCAGCACAAAAGCAAAACAATTGTAGGCCCAGATGTTTCAGGCCCACTCCCAGAAGGAGTCCTGTGAAGGTGAGAGGATAATAAATGTGAATATTTAATGGTTACATGGATTGTCTTGTTCTGTTCATTTGTTCCTAAATTATTATGAATTACTGGTCAGAGTCTCACAATTAATCCAAGGACATGCAGTATTTTATTATGTACACACTTTGCAAAGGGCATGCTTGACATTGGCCATCAAACCTTCTATGTAATATACTTCATTAAGGAATATATATCCTAAAAGCTGAACTGCAGATAGATTTGAAAAACACAAATAAATGCAGCTCTGTATTCATTAATACATCATTAAATACAGTTGTGCTCAAATGTTTGCATACCTTTGGAGCTTTGGTAATATTTGTACCATTTTAAAGAAAACATGAGTGAGCAGGCAAAACACATTTCTTTTATTTCTTATGGGATTCAACTGTAGGTCATAACAGAATGGTACAATCATAAAACAAAACAAGGCAACAAATAAAAAAAACTCCCTGTTCAAAAGTCTGCATACCCTTAGTTCCTAATACTGTGTATTGTCCGCCTTTAGCATCAATGAGAGTGTGCAGTCTTTTGTAATAGTTTTCTATGAGGCCCCGAATTCTTGCAGGTGGTATAGCTGCCCTTCGTCTTGGCAAAATGCCTCTAGGTCATGCAAAGTCTTTTGTCGTCTTGCATGAACCGCACGTTTGAGATCTCCCCAGAGTGCCTCGATGATATTAAGGTCAGGTGACTGTGATGGCCACTTCAAAACCTTCACCTCTTTTTGCTGTAACCACTGGAGGGTCAACTTGGCCTTGTGCTTAGGGTCATTGTAGTACTGGAATGTCCAAGAGTGTCCCATGCAGTCCCGTTAGTGCAGAAGAATGCAAATTGTCTGCCATTATTTTCTGATAACATGCTGCATTAATTTTGCCATCAATTTTCACAAGATGCCCCGTGCCTTTAGAGTTCACCCCCCCCCCCAAAAAAAAAACATCAGCGAGTCACCATCATGCTTCATAGTGGGGATTGTATTCTTTTCACTATAGGCCTTGTTGACCCCTCTCCAAACATAGTTGACGGTTGTAACCATAAAGCTCTATTTTTGTCTCGTCACTCCAAATTACAGTATGCCAAAAACTGTGAGGCATGTCAAGGTTTGTCAGGCATATTCTAACTGGGGCTTTTTTTGTGGCATTGGCACAGTAAAGGCTTATTTCAGGCAACTTGACCATGCAGCTAATTTACCTGTAAGTACCTTCATTTGATTTGGTATCTCATACAGCAAAGCTTAGACTGAGAGATGGAGAAGTAACACAACGAGCCAGTCAGCTGTGCTACAGTGCTCAAGTGCTAACAGGGAGCATGCTGATAGGAGAGAGGCTCATCAGTCTACTTATGCTTTCAGTGTTCAGTCACATGCTGGGGAAGGGACAAGACCTGTAAGTGCTACTTAAAGTGTATCTAAAGCCAATTTAGTGTATCTAAAGCAGCAAGGAGCTAAACCCTTTGTCAGGTTTGTATTGATAGATAGATAGATAGATAGATAGATAGATAGATAGATAGATAGATAGATAGATAGATAGATAGGATAGATAGACCCATATTTATTTGTCCAGATGCTAATTTTTACCAGAACTAGAAGTGAGAGAAAATCCAATGGGGAAATCTTCCAATGGGGACACTTGTTCTTATTACAATTGTCTAAGATGGGATTTTCTGTACATTGGACATATCCCCTTACTCTCCCCAATGGGACAGGTACTTCTAATGGGACACAAAAGCAAAAAGCAAAAAAATTAAAGGATTTATATCTATTGCCTAATCTATTCAAGCTAAAAAAAATAGTTTTTACTTTACCTATACTTTAACTACAAAGAAAAATCAGATATTTTCCACTGCCAGCCAGGGCTGTGATGTGTGCAACAGCTGTATAAATATCAGGCCTGAAGTTCAGCTTTAAATTCATACCTTTAACATCTGAACAGATTAAATGAAAGTTTGCATTGATCAACCAGTGCTGGTTAAAACAAGATAAACATATGAACCAATAAAGCCTAAACGGTATTTCCACTTTTGCAGTCAAATTTGAGAAAACCCCACTATATGTTTGTTATATGTTCCCATTCACAGAGCATACCTAAACATAAATAAAATATATTTCTTAACATTCTAGTTGTTCCTTTGAAGCAGGCCGTTGGGCAGACGGCAAGCTACTCTGAACAATTTGAAAGTGACAGCAGATGGACAAAGTAGGAGTAAACTCAATTTCCCCTCATTAACATATAATGCAGAACACAAGCCCTGTGATCTATAACCCTTATGACAGACAGTGTTCAAATCTAGTTTACAATGGATAATGAGATCTGCCAACACATACAGAGTTTATAGCAAGCATTAACTCCCTAGACCCCTACTTAAAATTACATAGCAGGGGAAAAACTTAAATTGTGGAGTTTTTAGAAAAGAGCAAGTAAAGGGTAAGCAGCAATTTTTAAATTTTTTAAAGTTATGTAATGTGAATGGTAACATGTAACAAATATAAAGTAGATGTTATCATAATTTGACTGCAAAAGTGAAAATATGCGTTAAAGTACCATGTAATAGTAATAGTAATACTGATTCACCAATCAGTATTAGCAATTAAGGTGCCCTAAAGAGGCATGTGTAAAAATATTAAAAGTACAGCTGTTATAACCAAACTAGAAGTTCCTAAATTCAAGTAAGTGACAGGTTATCATGCAAAATGGGATATTTTATTATTAGGCTATTGTATACAATGCTATTTACCTAAATATGCACAAATTTCCTACCACAGTCTGACTTATTTGCACTCAGATTCAAAAGGCACACGGAGACCATAGTATTTGGGGTTGAATAAAGACATACGTCCATCAAGTCCAACCCATATAGGTCCACGCATCATCTCATTCTTAGGGATACTGGTATCCCTTGATATTACAGTCCCTCAAGAAATTGTCCAAACGTTTCTTGAACAAATCTAAAATCTTGGCTGAAATCACTGCCGATGGCAGTGAGTTCCAGACCTTAACCGCTCTTACTGTAAAGAACCCTCTTCGCCCATTGTGTTGGCATTTTTTCTCCACCAACTTTAGGTGGTGGCCTCTAGTCTTTGTAATGGAGTTAATCTCAAACAGTCTGTTGCCAATGTTGCTGTCACCATTGAACATCTTGTACATGAAAATCATATCCTCCCTTAATCTCCTTAATTCCAGCGTAAACATGTTTAAGGTCAGAAGCCTTGTCTCATAGCTCTGGTCCTCCATTCCCCTAATTAGTTTTGTTGCCCTCCACTGGACTCTCTCCAGTACAAGGACATCCCTTCTCAGTACTGGCAACCAAAACTGGACCACGTACTCCAGATGTGGCCGAACCAACGATCTATATAGAGGCACAATTATAGACTTGTCCCTGCAATACATCCCCTTCTTAATACAGGACAAGACCCTTCTAGCTTTGTTTACCGCAGCTTGGCACTGCAAGCTACCATTCAGTTTGTGGTCTACAATGACCCCCAAATCTTTTTCTATTTCTAACTTCCCTAGCGGCATACCCATGATTGTATAGCCTATTTGTTTATTTTTATGTCCAAATGCAAAATGAAGTAGCTTACAGTAACAAATCAGAATTCTTTCATTTTTCTGATATGTCCGATGAGAGCTTCGTTTTTTGTTTTTTTCTAGTAGTTGCACGTTATTGCTCTTTGCAGTATCATAATAAATAAGCCCCAAGTTGTTAGAAAACTCCGCACAATTCCATTTACATAACAATACTAAGTCTGAACTGTGTGAACAGAATTTCAAAGTATACACATTTATTTTGCTGAAAATAATAATCTCATTGTCGGAAAACATTCAATAAAATATTCTATACAAAAAAATCATCACAAATCTATTTGGTTATTTTCTTAATCCTTATCTAGCACTGTCACAATCTCTCAAAAGTAGTGGCACCATGTCTGTTATCAGACGTTACTACAGCTCTAGAGGAAAGAGTTGTAGATCACTTAATGGTTAGTTTTTCTAATATTAATCAATTTTTAAAGATACAATAAACATTTACTAAGCAATTAATTTATATTTAATAAATGTTAAAATAAGATGACTTATATTGAAATTCTGTCTAGATTTATTTCAGTTTTCTATGACTACAGAGATGAGCGAGTTATGCAAAAATCCATTCTGCCAGCTTTCTACACAAATGCATAAAGGCTAGTATGCCCAAAGCAAGAGGGATGTAAGCATGATGGCTTCAATGGTATTCTGATTCTATCCCATGTATCAACTAACATTAGAATGTTATTTTAGAACTAAGGGGACCAAAAGGAGTGTGACTCTTTTTTTTTTTTTTTTAAATAAAATAAAGTCTTGTGCTGAAAGTGTGCTGGGCTCATGTATTGGGCTAAAACCAAAGGTATTGAACTACTGATGCTGTCCACGGATGCGGAGAAGGCATTCGACAGGGTGGCATGGGACTTTCTGTTTGCGGTGCTCCGACATGTGGGTTTTAACCCTTTCGCTGCCAAGGACGTACGGCCTACGGAGCTACAAAAGTCCTTCTGGCTGGCCAGCTCAGTATGCCGTACGGACCTGGCATTTACAGTTCTACTATAAGCTCATGGTCGCTTTAGCGACCATGAGCTTATAGTAGAATTGTTCAGCAGACTGTCCCCTTCAAAATAATAGCTGTCATCAGCGGCTCACAAGCGCAATTACAAATTTGCTAATATTTGTTATTTATTAACTCAATACAGTTTTATATTTTAGATTAAGTCAGAAAATAATTTTGTTTTGTGCACGGATACTGATTTTGGTGTGTTTTAACAATTGAATTGTGTATTTTTATCGGTTTAATATTAATTTGAGAAACATTTGCGCAATTATCGCAGGGCCTACAAATTTAGTATCACCATCTTTTTATTCTACCGGGCCTGCGCTTTCAGAAAATATATGGTTTGGGGGGTCTTTTACAAACGCTAGCAACGCAGCAGTTGAAAATCAAATCAATAGGAAAAAACTGCAAAAAATGCAAAAATGGCTTGGCCAGCTGATTTGAAAAATGTT